CACACACACACACACACACACACACACACACACACACACACACACACACACACACACACACACACACACACACACACACACACACACACACACACACACATACACGCACACACACGCAGTTGATTGTTTAATTATTTAAAATTTCGATGAATTTTAAATTTTTATGGGGTAGTATCTAGCAAATGTATTACGCATAATGCCACTATTTAAACCATGCATTAAAACCAATTAATATTCTGCCAAAACCTATCATCGTTGCCACTAGTTAGCCTAATCCTATTTGAATAATGCATGCAAAATTACGTGCTTTCCATCGTGGATTCGCTGCCATATTTTCTGTTTAACATGAACTCTCCCGATACTCTCCGTTCCTCTAGTTATTAAATCATATGATGTGATTATTTTTTGCATGTTATTCGCAATCAGATTATGAAAATACATTCTCGAAATGATGAACATTTTCTCCTAGTCGGCTGTGGATATTGTAATAACCGAAGGTTCTAAATGCTTCTCGTGGAGTGCCATTATGGTTCATCGCCTTGTTGAGTGCTGTTAGGCTGGGAGCTGGCTTCGTTTGATTGAGTTTGATTTTGCCGCCATCTGAATTTTTTGCGAGACAATCATGACTTGATAAACTTCTCAAACTGTTCCGTGTCTCTCATCTACCCCTTAGTCATTCCGTCATATGAACGAAAATTTTTAAGAGAAGAGTAGTTACTGTTACGCAAGCTTGAGGGTTGCATTGCCGACGGGCACGCCAGCTACCTCCTCAAACTAAGTTGAGCTTTGGCGCCTTTTGCCAAATTGTGCGAATATCTTCTTAAGTTCTAATTAGAGCTAGGCACGACGTGATTCGACGCACGAAAAGTCCGTGTTTGGTCATAAACCACCGTAGGTTAAATGACCTGCTTCCAGGAGATTATAATTGGCGATAAAATGTTCGTACCGTTTAGATTGGCAATTGCTGACGGTATAATATACATTGGCTCTCCAGAAATGGATTTTAGGTAGATTTTAGTATTCCCTGATTGCGCATTGACTGCTATCCTACGCTATAGCTCTGTTATAGTACAGATCACCCTCTTCTCTTTGAAATAATTCTCTTCGCAATTTAGCTGTGATTGCGCGCCTACGTTTTTGCGTGCGTGCACGTTTAATTGCTTGCGTGCGTGCGTGTGTGCGTGTGTGCATGTGTGCATGTGTGCAAGCGTGCGGGAGCGTCTATTGGCAATATACAAGCATACCAGAGGGTTTAAGTTTAGATTTATTCTTGTGATGCAGCAGATTTCACGAGTAGTTGACTCTGACAAATAGTTCGCGACAATTGAATCATTGTCAGAATGAATTGTTGGATCATAGATTACAATCCATCCAAATAACAAACATCCAACTACAGCGAATGTTAGCGACCACCTCTATAGAACGACCACCGGTTCGACCGTTATACGCAGCTTTGACCGTACCCCAGGTCATAGCTGGCAAATCGCCAAGAATGGGTTTATCGGTGGAGAGGGAGGGTGTAGTAATTATTCGAATGTCGATCTTCCCGTGCGGGCGGTAAACAAGGTGTTCATGTGCAACCCAGCCTATTTTACCCCGTATGTGTCTCCTGGGCTTCTGCGCTTCGCACCTCAATGACACCTCCTGCATCATTTCCTCATGCTCCCCCTCTCTCTCTCTCTCTCCCTCTCTCTCCTCCTCTCTTTGCCTCCTCGCTCTCTCTCTCTCTCTCTCTCTCTCTCTCTCTCTCTCTCTCTCTCTCTCTCTCTCTCTCTCTCTCTCTCTCTCTCTCTCTCTCTTCTCTCTTACTCTCTCTTCTCTCTCAATATATATATACATCAACGTCATCGCGCTTGGAACAGTTCTATTAATTACATCTCAATCAAATGAATACCTGCGCATGCCAAATAAATATACTTACTGCTTACTGGTACTGTTCTTTGTAGGACTTCCCGTTCTCCTAGTTCTTGTATACGGACTTGTACGTGGCCTAGTACCAGTTGGAAACACCGATTTGTAAGTATATTGCGTTATTTAGCAACATTACCCGTCATAATAATACGCAGGACGATCCTTTGGCATTGGCTTCATAACTCATAAGCATTGACCATAAACATTGAGCTGTCTCTTCCATGCAATCATTCAATCATTGCATCAAGTTGATCTTTCGCACACTAACTCCGTATTTTGTGCTCTCGATACTGTGCTGTCATGTTATCAGGAGTGTAGGTATAATGTAGAGATCTCTACATTATACACTCCTGATGTTATGATAGTTCTGAATATTGGAGTTTATTTCTAATCCGGCTTATTTATTTCAGTTGCTGGATAAACGAATCGAATTACACGTGGGTCATAGCGGGTCCTGTGTGCGCATCTGTTGTCGTAAGTAGTACACTATATAATAATTATATTTATATATATTTCGTGAATGTAAATTAATATCTTGCTATATTTCTATTAAACATAGGTTAGTTATATATAATATAATATATATATATATATATATATCTTGTAAAAACA